TAGTTAGGCTGCCCTGGCTGTGATCGAGGGTTGAACAAAGTATGAACAGTCAAGCCAATGTATAAAGAAAGAAAAAAAGGAAAGGTATGAATATGAGTAAAGTCACGAGTTTCTGACACTTACCTGCAGACGTTGTTTGATGACCGAGTCATGCTCGTACAAGGTAGACGTCATGCTGTCCAACTTGTGGAGTGCTTGGGTCAAGTTTAGGGCCAGTTCCCTGTTCTTGTCCCTCTCCTCCGACAGTTGGGCAGAAAGACTGTCCACCCGGGCCGTGAGATCAGACTGTTGACTCTGTAAGGTTTCCACCAGAGACGACAGACGATCCACTTTAGTTTTCAAGCGGCCGGTCGCCGTACGGGCCCCGGGCGGGCTGTACCCGGCCTGGGCGCGGGCAGAGAAGCTCCCGAACAGAAGGAAGACGACGAGCAGTAAGAAACTCGCCATCTTGGCCGTGACTTGAAACAGCTGTGGATATCAGCCGCACAACAACAAGGTGTGGGGCACAATTCTGGAGTCGTGAAAAACCAGGGGAGAACCGTTGTGGCTATCGAACGGGACCTGGGGGTAAGACGATGAAATGGAGACTAGGGAAAGGGGCTAACCATTGTGCCTCTCAAATAGGGGCTAGTGCAGGGGGTTGACCATTGTGGCTATCGAACGGGAGGGTGGGGTAAGGAAGGAGGTGAAAAATTGTGGCTTTCAAACGGAGGTATAAGGCAAGGGGGTTAACCGTTATGGCTATCAAAAGGGGGGAAACGGCAAAGGCATAACCATTGTGGCTATCAAATAAGGGGCTAAGGCAGGGGGTAACCATTGTAGCTATCGAATGAAGGGCTGAGGCAGGGGGTTAACCATTGTCGCTATGAAATGGAGTGCTTAGACATTCAGTCTTTCTTACCATCATGTTAGATTTCACGAAGATCCACCAATAAGCATATGGAAGAAAAAACTGTAAAGTATCACGTTTTATTTCCTTTAATTAAAAACAGCTTGTTACAATACACTGCAAAAAAGACATTACATGAACTGGCATTAATATAATAAGTTGCCATTTAACTATTGAACACAGCTTAGTTAGTTGCTTTGAGGAATGCACCGGATTTTCTTAACTCTTCAAAAAGATACCTTAAAGCTTCTTTTTTACCCCAATATGTATAGTATCATTATGCATCGCCCTCCAGCATATATTCTAATGATTAATTTATTTCATTTTTTGGGTTTGTATTTTATCTTAGATTCTGATCTACTTATACTTTTAGTATTACGTCAGCCATCACCCATTTTAATAGTCTGCCTTTGCTGACCCAAGTATTGACATGTATGATTGCCAAAACGTACAGATACAATTCAATAGAAAGCGTTGTCATCAGATTAGTAATAACATTAGTATGTTTATGTATTTTTAACCAACGCCTTAATGGCTAGAATAGAATAGAAGATACCAAAAATCTTCCAAACGCTTGTTTAGTGAAGGTATGCTAGCTTGACCAGATGATGATGATGATAGCTTGAATGATTGTATGGTCGACTGTTACATCGTGCGCGCTTAAGAAACACATGGTTGGGTTTTATTTGTGAACCAGGTGTGATTGTCATTCTGAGCAAAATCGGATATAATCAGCTTCATTCCATTTTATAAATTACAATTTATTTAAAAATGGTAACAGATATCGCATGGGTAATGCAGATAATATGTTGTTTATGGCCACTCGGACCACGTATTATGCAACTTGGGTATAATCAAACATTCAATGTTAAAAAATCTTAGTGATTTGGAAATTCAACACATATCACACCGGTAGTGGCATATCATACTCGTGTCGTTTATGGCCTGATCTTCATAGACACAAACTTTAGGGAGTAACGAGAGGAGTATCTCCAGCGGAGCCACACCACACCTTGCCAGGCTGGACAGGAGCTTCCACAGTTGCGCAGGTAGCGGCCGTTGAGGTAGGAGTGGCTGCAGCTCCTAAACCACCAGCCGCCCTGTCCGAACCGCTGAGAACAGGAGCCGTCCCAGGCATCGTTGTCCCTGTCCACAGTGGAGAACATCCTCCCGTTGTTGTGGTAATCCATGGAGTCTACCGCGTCGCCTGAATACCCGGAAATGTGCAGCCGGTACTGGTCCGACTCACCGGACACCCTGGATGGAAATATTATATAAAATTTATAATGGCGCTCACATACTTTGTAGCACGTGCATCGATAAGTAGGCACACATTAACGACTTAATTCTTAATTGCGCATACAAATACAAATACACACTCTCATACATGTAATATATATACGCAAACACACACATATACACAGTCACACATTACTGATTTAAATTTATTTGGATACCCTTTAGTCAATGACTAATCTTCCAGGGTTAAAAACATATAAACATACGAACATATTGACAGCAAAAATAAAAGAGAATGAACATACATAATCATGATAGGTTTAACAAAACGATCATAACTTAACTCAATATATACAAATTATCTCATGTACAACTGGCGGATGGCCTTTTTGAATTGATGCAGACTGGTCAGAGTTTTGATACTGGGTGGCAGGGTGTTCCATAGATTAATGGCGCGGTAGAGAAATGTTCGCTTTTTGCTGTTTGTTTATTTGTACTGATTGACATCGTCTATGCTGCAATAGAAAGTTCCCTCGGATAAAAGCACTCTGACTAGAAATGTCTTAATGTGTATTCATTATTATTATTATATTGACAATAATTTGCCTGTGGGTGTTTTACTCACCTGAAGATGTCATACGTTGCGTACCGGGTTTCTTCTTCCCAATCCTCGAGATCCACCCTGAGGGTGTAGTTCTTCTGACTGGTCAGGAGGTGGATGTTCTCGTTCCCAAGCCAGTATTCCCCGCTCTTGTTCCCAAACCCGTGCTTGTACTCCTCCCAGGTCCGGTTGAAGGGAACCGACCCGTCCTGCCGCCGTTGGATCACGGTCCAACCACCCCCTGTGTGGAAGGCACCACAAAGAAACCTTATACTCTTGGTTGCATCATGTATAACTAGTATGGCAATAAGATACGACACTAACTTCCAGACATTCCAATCTAAAATAACTGACCAATGTTTATATTCTTACTTTCCCACCACCGAGATAACTTATTGAAGTGTTCAAAATAAGATAAAGTAATTGAACTTTCCAAATAAGCGATACAAAAGTATAGCAGATTTTTATGTTCCCCCATGCAATACCTGCGGTATCCATGTCACAGTAGGTCTCCACGTAAGTGGAATTAAGTCTAATGTTGTAGACTCCGCTTGTAGTCTGTCCTGCCGCATAGAGTTCTGCGCAGTCTGACTCTGTGCGGTGAGAAATATGAGAAAGGCACAGTTTGTTTCATTATAGCTAGGGAGACACAGGATATTTATTATCATGAAAGTTCATCTGTGTTGGTAGTAATCATACTAAAATGTTGAACTTTATTCCAACACACAATTGTACAGGGATCAAATTTTCAGCGACCATTGTCGCCTTCATCAGGATAATTAATGACCAATCGCTTCACACATGATCTCGCGAGAATTACGGTTTACAAACTACGTAGAATGTTCGCTTCACTTGGCATCTCCACCTCCTTCAAACCAACCAACACACTGAAACAGTTCCTCGTGGCGCCAAAGGACAAACATCTAAACAAGAGAAATGTGGCGTAGTATACTACATTCCGTGTCAGGGAACCACAAGGCAGGGGACCTGCGAAGAATCTTATATTGGCGAGACAAAACGCTCACTGAGAACCAGATTTCTTGAACACAAACACCCCAGCATGCGCACGCTGTTATCGGAAGTTTCTCAACACATCCACATCGAATCACCGGGCCACTCCGTCTCTTTGGACAAAGTGAGGATACTGAACAGGACTACTTTTTAAGAGGCATTAAGGAGGCTATATATATCAGAGCACTTCAGCCTTCACTTAATAGAGATGGTGGACGATATAAACTCCCTGGCACTTTTGATCTTACGTCACGTATCAGTAAAATCTCGTGTGAATAAGGTCACGTGCTTGTAAACCGTAACTCTCGCGAGATCACGTTGTGAAGTGATTGGTCATTAATTATCCTGATGAAGGCGACAGTGGTCGCTGAAAATTTGATCCCTGTACAATTGTGTGTTGAAATAAAGTTCATCCTTTTACTACAGAATATTTATGTTCTACATGTATTATATATTTTACTCAGGTACTTTATTCAGGTACGTAAAGACACTTTAACTTTACTTCAACGAGATTCATCACTTTATGTCTTGATTGCATTTGCCTTTTACGAGGCTGGCCTTACGGTTGAAGTTACTTGAAGTATAGTATACCAGAGACAATGACGTGCCGGCGTTCTTACCTTGAGCAACACCAGATGTCGGCTCCGCAGCAGTGGCTGCCGGCAGCGAGACTCTCGGGGCTGCTGTAGCACTGCAACACTGGTGTATCGGGCAGAAATAAACGGTCATGACTGATTGATTTTCGACATATGAAAGCAATGATTAGATCCCCGGCTGCCTTCCTTGGTACTGCTTCAGAACTCCCGACTTTGATATCTCGTCTTCTGGAGATGATAGTTGGTAGATAGCTCTTGCCTTTGTCAAAAAGTTGGGTCAAAGGTACACTGTAAGGATTTTGGACACCGAACAAGACTATTTCCTGAGAGGGGTGAAGGAGGCTATTTACATCAGGGCCCATCACCCTTCACTTAACCGCGACGGGGGCCGACATCGTCTACCTGATACCTTTGACCCAGTGATGACGTCACACTCCAAAGAAGCCACGTGACAAGCTTCACTGGGTCAGTCTACTGAGGAAGACCAGAGTGACTGGTTGAAAGCTCTATGTGAGAGAACCTTTTGTGTTCGAACTAAGTTAAGTGATGTTCACATTCACTGAACCCCCATATATGCCAATTATCAAACTCCCACAAGGTACCCACTATAAAATAATAGCATATTTTCCATTAATTACGCAAATTCATTGTCAATTATATATGTCACAAGTGATTAGTAGTCCTATTATCAAACGCAGATTTATTTCCTCATTAATTAAGCAAATAAGCTTCCTACTTGCATAAATTTTATCTAATTTTGTGATGCATCACATAAGCTACCGTCAACTGGTTCTTGATTTATCCTCTCTCGAAGATTTTGGAACAAACCGTCCTGCAGTTTGATAACAGCATTTGGGTGTTCAGAGGTCGGACAGGTCCGAAGACATGTTTTTCATTGGCGTACATTGAAATTTTTCATGCTAACATAATGCCTGATATTGTCATCTAATGCGTTTGATTTGTCACTTAAATATATCAAATAAGATGAAAAAGAAATCCTGCAAATACAAGCAGCATCTAAGACTGTCTCACGTCTGTTGTGTCTGAGTTGGTCTGTAACCGCCTGCAGGCAATCCGGGAGAGACGACGTCACTACCTGTTGGACCGGTCTGTAGGACGCTGTCACCTCACGTACGAGTCAGAAGTTTATAGACGCGGCTAAGAGTTAATCTAAAATCATGCAGACT